TTTGCCACTATGTCTGGCGTATGTGGACTATGAGAAAGCTTTTGATTCCGTCGAAATTTGGGCGGTGCTGCAGTCCCTGCAGTGATGCCAAGTTGGACAAATAGTCCGATTAGGTAAGTCTAACTTCGACCGAGAGGTCAATCGACGGATTCAACTCGGCTGGGCAGCGTTCGGGAAACTACGTACACATCTTCTCGTTAAACCCACCTCAAAACCTGAAAACGCAACTGTACAACCAATGCGTGTTGCCAGTGATGACTTACGGATCTGAGACGTGGTCCTTCACTGCTGGCCGTATGAGGAAGATCAAGGTCGCACAGCGTGCTATGGAGAGGGCTATGCTCGGGGTTTCTCTGCGTGATAAACTTAGAAATGAGGATATCCGCAGTAGAACCAGAGTAACCGACATAGCCCAACGGATTAGTAAGCTGAAGTGGCAGTGGGCCGGCCATATAACTCGAAGAACCGACAACCGAAGGGGGAGGAAGGTTCTCGAGTGGCAGCCTTGTCCTACACTTCGCCTACCGGTAGGCGAAGTGTAGGACGATCCCCCACTAGATGGAGTGATAACCTGGTAAGACATGCAGGAAGTCGATGGATGCAGGTGGCTCAGGACCGTGCTTTGTGGCATTCCTTTGGGGAGGCCTATGTTCAGCAGTGGACTTATGAAAGGAAAGAAAAAATGATGATGGTGATGATGATGATGAAATACAGTTTACTGTATTTAATTTATATAAACAAAACAATAAAATACTAACACTAGCCTCCCTCTGTTTCTTATACGTTCATAAGTAAGTTTTATACGTGGTAGAGCAATGTTGCAGCTGTATTAGTAGTATAGTTGTAGTCATAGAATTATTCTATGGTTTTAGTACGAATGGGTCGGCTCGACCGGGGAAGGACCATGCTCTCACAGAATACCAGCGTAAGATAGCAGCTTAACGCTGCTGTGTTTCGTACGGTGAGTGTAGAGAACCGGAGACCCTTTTTACTAGAAATGAGGCATTCCATCTTAGTCCTCACGGGTGACAACGCATCTGCATATTGATTTGTAATAGACGACAGATGTAGATGTATATGGGCCGCAGCAACCACTGACCATCAGGTGGACTGTGTGCTCGTTAGTTACCCTTATCCTACAAAAAAAAAACATGTCTACTGTCAATGGTCGCTACACCGTCAAAGGCATAGATAAGGTAATATAATCGGTCAAAGGTTAGTCGTCGCTCGTCGGTTCTTCGATGTTTTATTTATTTAACTGGGTAAAAGTCCATAACAATGGATAATTTGGTGAAAATAATCGTGTCCCCGAGTAAAGCCCGAAAACGATCTAACATAAAATGAAACAAAAGCAACAGGAAAAGGCAAAAAAACTGTAAGTAGTTTGGTTTTCTTTGACAGGTTATAACAAGTCCGCTACGACCCTAGGGTTGTACGTAACATTCACTGTTATTACCTGTAGCAATTTTCATAATATTTATAATGAAAATTGATAATATTTTTCTACTTTATAATCATGATCAATCATGTTTATTGTAATTAATTAGAAATCAAATCGAATATTATTGTTATATCTGCACTTTATGCTAGTTTATTCTGTACTTATTTGTATTATCTAATAACTACTCTGCAGTTTTTTTTTGAATATTGTTTACAATTATGTCTCTTGTCTATCAAAATTTCTAATAACATAAAAACCACCATCATCATCAGCTTTTGGACTTATGTATTATAATATTTAGTAAAAAATAAAATATAGAGATATAATTTGGCTTTGGATTTTATACTAAATGTTGCTTTTTAAAGTTAAAAGTGCTTATAAATGGTATGTGTGGTTAATTTACGTAGTTGTTTCGCTTTGGTGATCGTCTGACTAAAATCATTACGAAAGGGGCTCTACGAACTGTATTTCAAAATAATAGCATGCAAAAGTTACGTAAAAAATAATGAACGTCATTGTTTTTATATTTTTGTTATCTACCACATATTTTTTTAGGTATTCAAATAACCAGACAAAACTAAAGTTTATCAATGTAACGTTTATCAATGTTAAAGTTTAAAAATTTTAAGTTTATCAATAAACGCTCAATGCAAACGATGTTCTTTTATTCCATGGTTCATTTTATAGATCAGATAAAAAAATTGAGCGAGACAATCTTATTTTAAAATAATATGTATATATGTATGTAGATCCATAAAAATACAAAGATGACGCCCCGTAACTGGTTGCATAACAGCAAGAAAAATGTGCACCAAGTAGAAAAATATGCAACTGTCTATCGTCTAGAGACAGACTTGTACCCATTCTCGATTATCAAACACAGTGTAGAAATATTTTGAAGTCGACTCAAAGTTTGCACTTTCAGGTTTCCAAATGCAAAAAGTTTATTATCACTACTGGAAAAAACAAATGAAAATCAGGCGTGAAATCTCTTATTACTCTTATACGGAAGTGAACAAGTCAATTACGAAACGTGGTCAAAGCTTCGTAACATTCAACTCAGATTCAGTCAGAATTGGTGTTCCAGTTCAAGAAGCCAAGTTGGTCGATTTTGATAAATTACCCGAAACACATTTTGGGGAAAAATAACCACTATTACCGGAACTAGAATATTATAAAAAAGTGCTTAACAATAGAAATGTGGTTGGTCGTCCTTCAGAAGTGGCTGAGGATGAAGATGATACCGAAGAAGTATTGAATTTTGTTTAAGTAAGTCTCCCCTTTTCTTATTTTTATACAAATAATAGTAGCAATAAAAATTTGTTAGAGAAGGTTAAATAAACTGTTGGATTTGTACTGTGGGTTTTAATTTATTTCAGCATCTCTCGTGTTTATAAAATCATTAGTTGCTTTGGTGACAACACTTGTATGTGAGTATTGAGGAGTAGTTATAAATATTCTTGGTAAATCGAGTTAAATTTTATCATATATAAGTAAATCCATGACTTGTTAGTTCAATAACGGGTAAATCCAGTTATGTTACATCAAATTTTAAATTCAAATTCAAATTCAAATTCAAATTTCAAATTTAAATTTTTAAATTTCATTTATTTACAAGAATGTAGTTACAAAAAAGGTGTTGTTGCAATATTAAGGCGCTAATACATTCTACCCACTATTTGGGTGTGCAACGTAGGTATGTCCAAACTTAAAACGCTTTTTTAATACTACGTATTATTATTCTTATTAATGTTTAATTTGACTATTTACTGCCCATCATCAATGATAGAAGATTCATACGGAACAAGATCCAAAACCCAGTTGATGACTTAGGAGCTAGGTTCCAAAAATGGCGTATAGATGTGAACCCGGAGAAGAGCTCCACCATTCACTTCGATCATACGACGCCGCCTCACTACCATTCCGCCAATTCGTATACTAGGGAACCCTGTCCCCTGGCATAAGACCGCCAAATATTTAGGTGTCACCCTTGACACGAGGCTCACCTTCGGGCCCCATGTCAAAACAGTAACCCGCAAAGCACGTTTCTATCTGAGTAGGCTCAACAGTATGTTGGGCCGACACAGTAAAATGTCCCTCCGCAACAAGCAAATCCTTTATGGTCTGTATACAATCAGTTATGACTTATGACTTACGCGGGCACTATATTTGCCCAAGCTAATCCCAAAATCATTAACGAACTCCAAATAGTTCAAAACCACTTCTGTTGTGTGGCTACGAACGCACCCTGGTACGTCCGTAGCGCCGACCTCCATCGAGACTTAGAGCTCTCCACAGTCCAGCAATTTCTAAAAACACTCTGAGAACTTCTTCAAAGCCTCAGAGTCTCACTCTAATCACCTCATTCGTGAGGCAGCTTCCTATACAGCCCCACTCCCCTCACGCTATCGAGTCCGAAGACCGAGAAACTCTCTCACGGACCTCGAATCTTCTCCCCTCCCTTAATTTGCCTTAATTAGGCTCTCCCTCAGCGGCTCCTCGCCGCCTGCGCTCCTTTTTCCCTAAAGAGATTCCGATTTCGCTTCCGATTCAGCAGAATGGCTACTAAAGCCAATGCCAGTCTCACAGGTGGTGCTTAGTGGGTAGGCACTTAGCTTAGGTTAGTCACAATGAGTTCTACACAACCACGACAGCCGGCTTAGAGCATTGACCACCTCCCTTCGCTTTCCGGAGGGTAGCCCTTTCCATCTGGGCACAAAAAAAATATGTTAGAAGATTACTTTCATTACGAAACTATGCATTTTGGACAGAATCTATTTTTCTAAGATAACTTAGAATCACTTTCAGTTTTTTTAGATTTACTTCGAAGTCTATGGTAGGGATGGGCATGGGAAAACATATATCGATATATATCGAAACGATATTTTTAAACAGTATCGATATATATCGCGTGATAAATATCGAAATATCGTCATCATTTGCACGATGTAAAGATAAGGTCCAAAACACAGAGTATCTTGTTATACCAAGGAGTCCAAAATTATATATAACTGGCGGTTGGACGACGAAAAAAAGACAAACAACCATACATGAATACTTTTGTACCTCCTTTTGTTGTTACATGTTTTTGCATTAATACAACATTTTAAAATATATCGAAATTAATACGATATCGATATATCGCGATTTAAAATATCGACAATTTTTATAAAAAATATCAATATTTTTTGCCCAAGCTTAATCTATGGAATGTTTACGTTTTTATTCTAGTCTAATATAAACATAGATAATTTTTTTTATAAACATAGATAAATAAATTAATAATTGACATTGGCTGTACATACTTGCTTCGATAGGTTAAGCAATAAGCATCATATTAGTCTGTGTTGCTTCGGGGCTTCGGCTTCGGCATTTCGGCAGTACATATTATACTAAAATTGTACACTACATTAGCAGAATTATTGTGACCATATCCACAATACCAAGGGCCATATTCATAAAAAAAAGTTAATAATTTCCTAATATTTTAAAAATTTCGAGTATTAAGTTCACCAGTTACTATACTCTTTGAAGTTCACCCATTCACGGAGATACAATCATGAGTTTAAAAGTGTACATTGTTGGTGTTGGGATGACGAATTTCGTCAAACCCAATAATGCGAAAGATTATCCAGAAATAGGCAAAGAAGCTGTAGAAGAAGCTTTGGCGGACTCCGGTATCTCTTATGATGCAGTGCAACAAGCAGTTTGCGGCTATGTCTACGGTAATTCCACTTGTGGCCAGCGGGTGCTTTATCAGCTTGGTATGACCGGTATCCCGATCTACAACGTCAATAACCACGGTGCAACTGGTGCCACAGCACTCTATCTTGCCTATCAACTTGTCCAAGGTGGTTTAGCTGACATCGTACTAGCATTAGGTTTTGAAAAAATGTCACCAGGCACTCTCCCAGGTACTGCATATCCCGACAGAACGTATCCTTTAGACAAACATGCTGATAAAATGTTAGAAATGGTACGGATAGAAAATGCACCATTGACTGCTCAATGTTTTGGTAATGCTGGTCTTGAACATATGAAGAAATATGGTACAACAAGGTTGCATTTTGCTAAGATAGCATTTAAAAACCACCAAAATGGCTCCAGAAATCCTCGAGCACTTAATCAAAAAGCCTACACATTAGATGAAATATTAAATTCAAAGCAGATTTTTGGTCCATTAACAAAATTACAGTGTTGTGGTAACAGTGATGGAGCAGCTGCCGCCATTCTTATGTCTGAAAAAGCTGTAGCCTATTATAATCTTCATGAAAAAGCAGTGGAAATCTCCGGCATGACTATGGCAACTGACACTGAAGCCGTTTTTACTGAAAAAAGTTTAATGAAAGTAACCGGCTATGATATGAGTGCATTGGCAGCAAAAAAAGTATATGCAAAATCAGGTATATCCCCTAAGCAAATTGATGTAGTAGAACTCCACGACTGTTTTTCTTGTAATGAATTGATAACATATGAAAGCTTACAATTATGTGAAGAAGGGAAAGGTGGAGAATTTGTTGATGCAGGTGACAATACATATGGAGGCAAGGTTGTGGTGAATCCAAGTGGTGGATTAATAGCTAAGGGCAATCCAATTGGAGCGACCGGGCTGGCACAATGTGCAGAATTGGTGTGGCAACTAAGGGGAGAAGCAGGAAGAAGACAGGTTAGTTCTATTTCTTTTTTAAGAGCCATTTTAAATTCCACTACTTTATATATACACTGCTGTATTGTTTTCACAATAGTGTGTTACTGGCAGCTATACCTTTAAGGACTACTCACACTGTCCAGTCTTTTAAATTGAAGTGACAAATGAGCTTACAATTCATCCTATGATAAATAGCTACTGCGGCTTATGGACATCTGCAACAAGCTCCAAATAAAGAAAGCTGCAGATGTGTTGTTGCCTCTGGGTATTACAATGTAATACTTTCCAGCCTGTATTATACTGGCTCTTCAGCCAAGCTAATTTATACTAGTGGACTAAGTTCAGAACCAACGGTGATTCCAGCTACAATATTGCATATAATCTATTTATATATAGCTAAGAAAGAAGATTTATGTGTTAAAGGGAAACCAGAGCTAAATATATTTTATAATTTGAGACAACTTTTTAAATGTTTAAATTTTTAAACATTTAAAAACTTTTGAAATATCTAAATTAGTAAATTGGTTCAATGTTAATAATTTACATTTAAATGGCACTAAAATGAAATGTATGAAATTCATGACTCCAAATGTCAAACAAAATAAATAAATAATAAATAAATACTAATGTAATTTTAAATGGGGAGAAACTGAATTTTGTAGATACCACCATTTTTCTTGGAATCAAAATAGAAGCGAAGCTTCAATGGAGCCCCCATATACAAAACTAGCAAACAGACTTAGTTCTGCAGTTTATGCTGTAAAAAAGATTAGAAGTCTTACCAGTGTTGAAACAGCTAGACTAGTTTACTTTAGCTATTTCCATAGCATAATGTATGGTATTTTACTATGGGGACATGCAGCTGACACTGAAATTATATTTGTTTTACAGAAGAGGGCCATAAGAGCAATTTATGATTTAAAGCCTAAAGAGTCGCTGCGACATATTTAAGGAAATTAATATATTAACTTTGGCCTCTCAATACATTTATGAAAATGCAATGTATGTACACAAAAATAAAAGTAGTTTTACAAAAATAAGTGATATTCATTCTGTAAATACTAGGAACAAACGCAAGCTAGTAGTACCAGTTACTCGACTCCATCGAGTCTGTAATTCATTCTTGGGGCGATGTATACGCTTTTACAACAAAATTCCAGAAAATATACAAAATTTGACCTGCTCAAAGTTCAAAAACTTTATTAAACTAAGTTTGTATAAAAGGGTTATTATAATATTAAAGAATTTATGGATGATAATAACCCCTGGAAATGAGGTGATTGGTACCAAGCTATTTCTAATTTGTTGTGTTGTTGTGTAACATACATGATTGTAAGCTGTTATTTAAAAAAAAAAGTCCCGCTGGGTTTCTTGCTGGTTCTTCCCAGGACAGAGGTTTTTTATTTGGAACTTTTTTTTGGAATTTTAGTATTATTTATAATCTATATTGAATAAAAGAATTCTGTTTCAAATTGTTAACTATGTTTTAAGATATACTTTTATGTATAGAGTGATATTATGTAGTAATTTTTTCTAAGATCTAAAATTGTGTGTATGATTTTGGGTAGTATAAAGTAACTAGCTGACCCGGCAAACATTGTTTTGCCATATATATTATTTCTAGGAAATATTTTTTAGTTTTAAAAATCGCAATTAAAAAACAGAGGTTGATCCTAAAAGGGTGAAAATTTGAAATTTTATGTATTTTTCAATGCTAAATCATAATAAAATAAAAAATAAAATTTCTCAAAAAAATTAAAAAATATATTTAAGGGCGCGTCACCCTTATCATTTACTGGTTTGAAAAATAGTTGTTGGCCGATTCTGAGACCTACCCGATATGCACAAAAAGTTTCATATAAATCGGTTCAGCCGTTTCGGAGGAGTTTGGTAACAAACACCGTGACACGAGAATTTTATATATAAGAAGATTAAATATACCTTTCATATTGTTTAGTGAAGTTGCATCATATAGAAGAGAGAATTGAAGTACCTTAACTGGTTCTGTTATTATTTTAAGGGCCTGGCAGATATATACTTTATGCTATTCAGATAAGACATTTGTACTATGTTATACTTAGTTGGGTCATAACTTCTGTCAATACCTTATTATTTAAAAAAATTTAATACTGGCTGGATGAACTTCACCAATTTTAAAAACATAATGTTTGCGCTTGTCGAAAATAAAAAAGATTAATTTTCAAATATGGAGTGGTCGAAAAAAGAAGATAGAGAGATAAGAACGCGATAACCGCTACGGTTATCGCTTTGCACCGTAGTGATTACGCGCCAAAAGAGATTTTCAATATTCTACAAAAATTGAAAATAACCCTATGATATGTTTATTGCACTATCAAACGATTCACTGAAAATTCAAGCTTCGAAGATCGTAAGAGGACCGGCCGACCTAGTCCAGTTAGGAAACCCGCGATCATCAAAGCAGTGAAGGCGCGAATCCAACGAAATCCTGTTCGTAAACAAAAAATTTAAGCTCTTCAGATGGGCCTAAGCAGAACCACGATCAAAAGAGTGATTAATGAAGACCTAGGACTATGAGCTTATCGTAAGAAGATCGATCATTTTTGAACAAGCATTTGAAAAAAATTAGGCTGGATAGATCCCGCGCTTTGTTACGGCGGTACGCGTGAATAAAATGCCGCGAATTTTGTTTACGGATGAAAAAAAATTTTAACATCGAAAAAAGTTATAATAAACAAAATGATAAGGTTTGTGGCCACAGCAGTGAAGAAGCCAGCACGCGTATTCCGAGGTTTCAACGAAGATATTATCCTTTCACTCATGGTTTGGCTTGGAGTCTCATTTTCAGGCTTAACTGATGTGTTTTTCTGTGAAAAAGGTGTAAAAACCATCATCATTACAGCCCTTCACAAGTCCACTGCTGAACATAGGCCTCCCCCAAATAATGCCACAAAGCACGGTCCTGAGCCACCTGCATCCATCGACTTCCTGCATATCTTACCAGGTCGTCACTCCATCTAGTGGGGGAACGCCCTACACTTCGCCTGCCGGTACGAGGCTGCCACTCGAGAACCTTTCTTCCCCATCGGTTGTCGGTTCTTCGAGCTATATGGCCGGCCCATTGCCACTTCAGCTAACTAATCCGTTCGGCTATGTCGGTCACTCTGGTTCTACTGCGGATATCCTCATTTCTGAGTTTATCACGCAGAGAAACTCCGAGCATAGCCCTCTCCATAGCTCGCTGAGCGACCTTGAGCTTCCTCATCCGGCCAGCAGTGAAGGACCACGTTTCAGTTCCGTATGTCATCAGTAGTGTAGTTGTACCACTTCTAGACCACCTGAGTCAGACGTGGTTCAACGACGTTCGTCGACGCCCGATAAAAGGTTTTGGCATACTCTGATCACGAATCCGCGGTCCATTTTTGTGTAGAATGCACGGTTCCGGAGATGTGTAGATCAATTAGCTAATATCTAATTGATATCCGGTAAGGGCCTCCACCGTCATTAGCGTCCCATTGTTCCTATTTCTATTGTTCTATTGTTCATTAATCACCTTCATTGCAGCGTGTGCGTCGACTATATCAGTGCTATTGTGTTATAGTTCTAACGCTAATCTGAATCATCAATAAAACACATTACATAATTTTGTTACAATTTTTATTTATAAAATACAAAATCTTATTAATTATTATCTATAAAATAGGAGCGAAACATCTCATCCACTAAAATATCGTTGTACAATGTGTTCCTTGTAAATATACTCGTAAAACTATGTATTGAACATCCTTGAAACTTATATAGCAAATACATTAAGCAATATTCGCCACAAACTGAAGTCCACTCATTCTGAATCCTATCAACATTCCAGTTCCATCTTTTACAATTCCTTTTTAAAAACTCTAGATGATATCGTACAGGTGATCGTCCATATGAATCAAAATATTGACCGACGTCATTCGTATCGATATATAAAGCTACCCAATGTGACCCTGGTTTATCATCTGTATCCAAATTACATATTATATACGTTGGTACGTGGGTATACATAGGCAGTCTATTAGCTGCATAAACATTATTTTCTAGACTGGGGTGAATCTTTTTCAGATGTTGTTGTACATCTAGTGTATCCATGATATTACTGCTATTAGTAGATTATTACAGTACCTAGCTACTCAATGAATAACATAGGAATGGTCAATTATAGTGATTTCTACATATTAAATTGCATTTTTGTGTTATACAAATCGTACTTGAGTCATTGATCACCAAACAAAACACAATACGAAGAAATGTTGAGATAGGCAACGGAAATGTGAGATAAACTGATATGTTTCTAAATATTAAATTGCATTTTTGTGTTATACAAATCGTACTTGAGTCATTGATCACCAAACAAAACACAATACGAAGAAATGTTGAGATAGGCAACGGAAATGTGAGATAAACTGGTTGACGCATAAAGTAATTATCAACTCATTACGGAAATACTTTAGATTAGAATTTTTACGTACTGGTGGTATATAAGACCAACAAATGCAGTCATCGAGTTAGTGTACGGTCGTTTGGCTACAGTGGATCTATCAATAGTACATTTGTGTTACTTCAATACACCAAAGGCTATGGATGTAAGTGCTTATTCTATTGACTAAATTACTTTTTTTCTGTTATTTTCATGTGTGTGTATTATTTTATTTAAATATTGTGTATGTATATGATTAAGCCGTGGTAACTCAGATGGTTAGCGCTAGCTGTAAATTTCACAGTACGCGACCCGGGTTCGATCCCCGCCAGCACCAATTAAATTGTTAATAGCAATTTTAAGTGCTTATTACCACGTGCTTGGTGGTGAAGGAAAACATCGTGAGGAAACCTGCATGTCTGAGAAAATTTCGAAGGCATGTGAAGTTCGCCAACACACATTGAGGGAGCGCGGCGGACATTTCCTTGCTCTAAAACCCTCTCAGAAATGAGAGGAGGCCTATGTTCAGCAGTGGACTTTAATAGGCTGTAACTTTAACTTTTTTAACTTTTATGATTAA